GTAGTTTATAAAATTAACTGCAATGATTGTGAGGCATCCTATGTAGGCCAGACTGGTAGAGTATTGCAGTCTAGAATTAACGAACATAAAAACCATATAAAACGTAACACCACGCAAACTTCTGTAATAACTGATCACAGAATTAATTATTCCCATGATTTCTCTTGGGATAGAGTCGAGATTCTAGATTGTGAAAAGCATTATTATAAGCGTCTTATTTCCGAAACTCTACACATTAAAAGACAAACATATGGCCTTAACCTACACAGCGACACGGAAAATCTCGACAAATCTTATGTACCATTTGTTGTTAATAAAGATTAAGTTCTCCTTTGCGCATGTCCATAATGTTGATCTCACTGTACATATTGTCGTCTTTTCAAATTTTATTCAATTACGTTACAACTCTTGTTCTGCGATCACTACCATGTAACACCTTGATTTTGTATCTTGATCGGCGTTTTTTACGAACAGCATACGTCTGTAAGTTAACAAATTATTTTTGTATTGTGTATTCTTTTTTCATAATTTTTGTTAATAGTGTTTCCATATACTATTTTTGTTTAAAAATTTTTGTAATCAATTTTGTAGAACGATTTTGATAAAGACTAAAAACCATAGTCGAAACGTCAACTTTATAAACTATCAAATAAAGAACATCATTATTATATCCATACACAACAACAACCGTGCTTTTGAACTCCAACTGCCTTTCTATATATTTTTTAAATTTTGAATATCTGGAGTTATTCTTTTTTTCTGATTAGTAACAATCGAAAAAAATTTTTTTCTTATTATTTTGTAAAAAAAGTGAAATCAAAACATACGCGAATAACGAGCAAAGATAAGCCCGGATTGTTGCAACCGCGACTGATCGGAACGAGAGCAGCGGCGAATAAAGATAATCATTTTTAGTCTTAACAAACGCAAACCGCAATACATTATATTTTTGGCAATATATTGCGCGACATCGAACTCACGGAGCAGCCCGAGATTCGATTCACGTACAATATAAATCGCGAGAGGTGCAAAAGAGAACCAACCACGCTTACGTTTGCCGGCGACTCTCCACAAACCGTAACCATTCTGACCGATAACCGTTAACCATTCTGCTTTTCCTTGTGACATCGTCTTAGCCGGTCTTCCTCGGATGTTGTCCGGCACACAGTCTTACATCGGCATCACGACATGCGTGAGAGATGGTGAACTCGCGGGATTGACGGTACGCGCAACAATGAATTTGGCTCCTTCGGCAATTGCTCTTCTCGCCGTGCGCTGTTCTTTGCGCTGTCTAATGAGCCAATCATATTCTTCTTTTTGCGGCGCTATGATTGACAGCGGCCACGTGCGTTTCGGCAGTGCGTGTCGACTTGGGCCCTTTTCTGGCCGCATCCGGCTCGTTCTGCGTCAATTTTCCGTGGGGATAGGCTTCCTTCGGCTTATCTCTCCGCCTCACGGAACCGAAAACTCCATAGGGAGCTCCGCTCCGGATTTCACGAAGTCGGAGGGCTAGCGTCTCCCGTTTTTTCTAATCCGCCGCCGACACTCGCCAAGCGCCTCACGTAGAATATCTGTACGCCCCTGTATCGCTGTCTGTCTCTATCTTCTCTCTTTTTCGCTCTTCTCCACCTGCTGGTCACGTACAGTGTGTTGCTCTCCTCACGCTGAAAATAACTTACAAAATAGCCGCCGAGCGGCATATTACAATACGCAAAAATACAAACGCAAATCTGAAGTAAGCGCATTCGCCTGCGCTACGCAATCTAATGAGCTACTCTCCTTCAAATAGTAGGGAAACGCGAGCTCATCGCTTCCTGTGCCGGCCGGAAATGCATCCTTGTGACGGACACAAAAAGTGTCACGTAACAATATATACACACACACACACATATATTTCCTCACAATATCCAGCGAACGGCCCTTATGACCGTCTATATATGTATTTCTAGTTTAAATAAAGTTTATTTTCATTAAGTACTTTTTGACTTATGAGGGTTAAATATTAGAGTATCGCCGGTATTAGCATTTATTGACATCATTCATTTCAAATGTTGCTTTATCTAAAAAAACGATGTTAAATAGGAAGTAAAGTTCTTTGTCAATTCTCTGCATCATGAGCTCACAAAATTTATTTCGATCAAAATAATCTTTGTAGAAAAAGTATCGGCAATACTCTAATATTGCATATAGCCAATATTCTCTCTCTCTCTCTTTCTCTCTCTCTCTCTCTCTCTCTCTCTCTCTCTCTCTCTCTCTCTCTCTCTCTCTCTCTCTCTCTCTCTCTCTCTCTCTCTCTCTCTCTCTCTCTCTCTCTGCAAAAACAGTATCACAAGCACATCACGAAGAAAAGATCTAGTCGCGTGGGAAAGTCGGCAAGCATACGCGACATCCGTGCGCGGTTTATCCAGAGAAACGGTATCGAGTATCCGCACTATACCGTTTCTTCCGGTTAAGCAAAGCCGGGTATTCTATTCTTTGAGAATCCGCAGTTTTCCCGATATTTCTTAAAGCGGTCACTATACTGACGCCGCAATAGATCTTGCACGCTCGTTTTATCTCGTTACTTTTTCGAATTTTCTTCATACATCATAAGACCCGACTGGCAATTCGAAGGGAAACAACGCGCTCGATAGCACAGTTTTCAAAGTCGGGACGCGGTGCTTGTACGCATAAGTATACACGTGCATATATACTCGATGCATTTGCACATCTATTTCTAACACAGAAATAACGACCAACAAAGTAATAAAAGTGTTCCACGGAACTAGTTATTATTTAATGTCTTTGAATTTACGAATCGGAAAATCCAGTCGACTAATATGTATTTGTTAATTGTTAAATTTCAACTTATAATGAATTAGCTGTACTTTATGAATGTATAGTTCGAGATTCGTAAGACATTAACTTAGAATTAATAATAACAAATAGAGTTTACCTACATATCTCTGACTAAAATCTTGAAACTCGAACTTGAACTTTTGTTTATGTAAAAAAAATATATATAGTTTGAAGAGAGATGTTGCATATTGCATTTATCTCGCTTTCGTTTTACGTTTTCTTTATATATATATATATATATATATATATATATATATACATGTATATATATATGTGTATATCTTACAAAATCAATAAAATATAATTGGAAAACTGTAATACAAATATTTAAAAAAAAAATTAAATCTATACAGTACATGTTGTTACATTCTTCATTCGTTATGAATATAAAATAAAGCAAAGGAAGTCGTCAAAGTAGTGCCTGTTATTCTCTTTTATTCCGCTTTTATGTATTGCATATTTCATCATCTGAATGAGAGGCGATAGAATAAGAGGATGACTTTGTTTTGAGAAAAATTTTAAAATTATTACTCCGTTTCTTGAAAGAAGAAAAGAAAAAAAACAACAGAATGCTGCTCTCTCTCGAAGTCGTCGCCGAGTCGTCTTATTTACCCGTTGTATATCTCTCGATTTTCTTTCCTCTCTATCGCCTTTCTTTAAGTCAATAGAATGAACATGATTTGAGAACAGTTGCGTGTATAAAAGATATCAATCTGAAAATAGTTCGTGTAGTAAACTTTCTTGAAATAAAATAGATCTTTTATTCTCTCTCTCTCTTTTTTTATAATATAGATCATCTTGCGCGTCTTCTAGTATCTACACAACATATACACGCGATATCAATTTAACAATCATGCATTTCAAAACATATGTTCATATATATTGAATAATGTTCATATATATTGAGTAATGAATGGTTTTTTTAAAAGGTAGCGCACGCAGATACATACATATATCTACTTACATAACTTACATAACTTACAAACTCAATAAATCTTTAGGAACGTAAATCGCCCGGGAAAAAAATGGATTAGATCTAACTTAAATTTAACGAGATAAAAAAAAATTGAAAAATACATCTCTATAATTAGATTAAAATTAAATCTAAATAGATATAAAATATATAGATCTAAATAAATATAAAGTAGATCTAAATAAATATAAAATATATAGATCTGAATAAAAATATAAGCAAATCTATTAAATTTACACCTTTATATATTATTAAATCTATTTTAAATCTACTCAGATCTACTAAAATTGAAACTACTCAGATTTAGTTAGATTTGAGCAGATCTGAACAGATCTGAGGTGATCTAATATAATAGATCTGAGGTGATCTAATATAATAGATTTGAGTAGATCAAGAGTAGATCTAATAATAAACAAAAGGTGTAAATTTCCATAGATTTACTTATATTTATTTAGATCTACTTTATATCTATTTAGATTTAATGTGGATCTAATTAGATCTATTTTTCCTTTTTTTATCTCGTTAAATTTAAGTTAGATCTAATCTATTTTTTCTCGAGCGTTTAACTTTACAATTCTTAAATGCGTGAGGTTTGTTACGTGCCTGCCAAAAAGATCCAAGATGAAAAAGAGAAGGTTATGAATCGATCAAAAAATTTCTTACTCTCCGTACTTTATTCAACGACACTTGACATATCTGCACGCAGACGAGAGACTGAATATTTTACAAGGACTATGTGTTATATATATGTACATACGTGGACGCCTTAAGTAT